AAAAAAAAAAAAAAAAAAGGGTGCGCAAAAAGAGCACGACACAACGGTACTTTCGAGTTTAACCAAATTAGTATGCAATCCTTGCCTCCATAATTCCTTCCCTCATAAGCAATGTGTGAGAGACCAGAGTAAGCCTACCTCCCATCGGGGACTGCCTCGTAGTGTTTACCCTGTCACACGGTCACACGGTCACACTGTCACACTGTCACAACTGTAAGCACTACTGTCACAACTACTGTCACATCTACTGTCAGGCTTCAGTGAGCTTAGCTGCCTGGGAGTGCGAAAAAAAAGAAAAACAAAACAAAAAAAAAAAAGCATGTCAACTGTACTACTAATTTGAAATTCACAGTTTTCACTAATTGCAATGTGTCAAAAAGAAAAGAAAAGAAGGGATCCAACTCTTGTCTGCATTTCTGTGAGTTCCCTCGCTGGCAATGTGTGGAAGACCCCCTGAGACAACCAACTCCCATGCCATTGGGAGAGCCTCCGCCATGACCAAGCAGTGCCATCCTTTCCAGCAGGGCCAAGCAATCTCCTTGCATGCACCCAAAAAATCCACACTGTGACATTGAGTTTCCCGCTGCTTTCATGTGGCCAGAACCAGACCGTTTACCTTTCACGATGAGGGCACTGTTTCTCCACCTATCCCGCAACCTATGCAGCCCATTTGCCCGGCCCACACGATCAGTCCTGACTCCCAAGGCGCCGTCTGCTGCGACATGACATTAAGTTCCATACGAGCCGTGTACGACCTCACCTCAACACGAGTCAGCAGTCTATTCCAGATGATAGCGTCTCCTTGATTTATGCGTGTCATCCTTGCGCAGGGGCCATGCTAATCTACCCTTCTCTGTATCGTTCCAATTTTAACGGATGTCCCGAAGGACAGCACTTTGAGACTCTGTCATAATTACGGAACACGAACGTCCTCAACAGTCCATTCGAAAAAAAAGAAAAAAAAGAAAAAAAAGAAAAAAAAGAAAAAAAAAAAAGAAGAAGAAGACAGGCTTAGCCCGTTCTCCATCCAGTACTCTTCGAGTCCTTGGCGGTTGTCCTTTCCACAGTAAATTTAAATTTCCTGAATTGCGATGGAGCACATACCGCCTCCAGGAAAGAGTTCACAGCTTTGCAAAAAAGAGCGTAACCGGCTCCCTTGACTTTCCTACTAGGGCTGCGAGCACAGCAAGTCTATCTGTAGTTAATACTAACTTAACAGTTTTGCCGCGCATGACCCTGCATCCAACTGAGCCTTACGGCACCCAAGTGCCATGATTCAGCAGTCATTGACAATCAATCTGGGCCGGAAAGACCATATTCGCAAAAAAAATCCGAGCGTCGAGCTGATTGCAGGAGGCCCAAAAAAAAAAAAAAAGAAGAAAAAAAAAAAAAACAGAGAACCGGTCCAGAGAAGTGAACATGTTCAGAAGAGCCAGCAGACACGAAGCAGACTCAGTCTGTGAGACGATGCCCACACAGGAGCAGAACTGTGCAAACCGTGCATGCATGCGTAAATGCATGACAGCTTTCAACTGCTGACAGCTTTCTATTGCTACAACAGTACGTCACTTACGCTGAAGCTAATCTGTACGGGTGATTTAATTTACACCTCCACGATCATGGCTGAATGGTACACAGCAGTGAAACAGGTCACCCAGAGGTGAGCTGACCAAACGCTCGCCAATTGAATAACGCAGTGGGCCCCGACATTTTAAATTCCAGCTGCAGTGACTTCTGCCAAGTATTAACTGTTGCTAACTAAATGCGACATCATCCGACATGATAATAATTCTGAATCGTGTTGACGTTTAATATTAAGTGATTTTCTGAGAAAACTTCCACCCAGTGCACAAGTACATATCAGACCCTGAAGCAACACGTCATCGAGTAAAAACCCAAAACTACCCCTCATTTCAGGCAATGCCATATCAAAACGGTCCCTAAACCTCTGAGGCATCAAGAAATGAACTTCATGGACTCAGGGATTTCCACAGGGATCTCACGCAGCAGCCTCTTCCGGTGCTCGGAATCTTCTTTCGATCGAATAATAACCTAGTAAATAAAGTCATAACCTAATTTACATACCTTATATAAATCACTTATATTTATCCGATATACAGAATCTCTAGAAAAGTGATAGACTTGATGCATTGTCAACAGTGACAAACGAGACATCTGCCGCACACATATGATGTCCGCACCTCCGTAACCTCCCATTCTACCGTGCAGCCTCCACCGACTCAGCAAGCTCTACCTCATGCGCAACTCTCTCTAACACAGAAATAACGCTGTCATCGCCCGTCATCATACTTGGCTGATGACGTCTATCCAGGCTAGCGCACTGCAACCCCAAGCATGCCACTTTTCGTGCCAGCTCGACATCCCAGCATCTGCATTTGAGTCCTGGACCAGCGCATTTTGAAATGCCACCACATCATCTTCCATCGCAGCTTCGATCGTCTCATAGGCGTTTGATGACTTGCCCGTGAGAATCTCCAGAGCTGTGATGCCGAAAGAATAAATGTCTGTCTTCTCATCCAACGTCCTTGACCGCCAGTATTCTGGAGCGACGTACCGGGAATCACGGGCCAGGTACATATGCATGGCCGTATGTTCTGCCTCATCATCTGCGTCACAGAGTTCTTGGCGGATGAGTGCCTGGTCGACCGCGCCAAGCTTAGCCACTAGCTTATCATCCAACAGGATGTTTGCTGGATTGATCGCCCCATGGATGATGGGACCGCCTCTCCCCTGTGGCAGACGCGCTGAATGAAGGAAAGACAAGGCTCGAGCAACCTGTTCTATAACCCGCAAACGAATGTACGAGGGAAGAGAACCCCTTCTGGGCCTGCTGTCCCTGTATGAGATCCAATCCATCACACTCCCATTTCCCAGGTGCTCATAAACCAGGCAATGCCATTTGTCTGCGTAGCAAGCTCCGATCAGAGTCAACAAATTAGGATGGCGAAGCAGTCTCAACCTTTCTACAATGTTTGACTCGAACCTTCCATGATTGGGATCTGATTCATCGCTCCTCATAATATCAGCCCTTATTTTTCTTACCCACAGATGACCAAGTTGAACGTGTTTCCCCAAGAAACAACAGCCTTAGGGATCCCCATCGCCGCTCTTCCACTTGTCATCGAAGTTATCTGTTGCATCCTGCAGCTCCTTTGCCGAGTACTCTCGGAACAATGGACAATTATCCTCTACGGGGCCATCACCCACTTCACGACGTAACTCCCGTGCCACTTGTCGTTCAGTGACCTGTTTCAATTTACCCTCCATCTTCTCAACGGTTTGGCTGATTTTTCCCAGTTTCTCGACCAAAGTTGGCCTCTCAACCTCAGCCTTCTGGATCCTCGCGGTCAGCTCTTTGCATGCCTTGTCTGACTCTTGCCGTGCAGTGACTTCCTTTTGCAACATTGATCCCAGTTCAGTCAGACTTTGCGTTTTTATTGTTTGTGCTGCTCGCAGCTCATCTAACGTCCTCTGCATACTGAGAATTTTGTTTATCGACACCTCAGTTTGCTTGCCGACCACCTCTAACACAAGGAATTCTGTACAACCTCCTAGGACAATCTTGTTTGAGTTTCTGCAAGGTGGTGCCATGCTAGAGATGTTTGTGAGCTCCGTGGAATAGGACAACACTAGTTTGTAGTTTAGCTCGTCCCAGACTCTGACCTCCCGGTTGAAGCTTGCAGTGAAGATGAATGGCAAGTGGGGGTGGAAAAAGGCATCCCAGACATTTCCACTGTGCCCTTCCAATTTGGCAACGCATGATCCCGCTTCGTAGTCCCAAACCCTCGCATGGCCGCCATCACCGCCTGTCACCAGAAGTGGTTTTTCCGATTTGAGGCAGAATTGCAAACGGTATATCTGAGGAATGTCATGATCTTGGATGGTGTGTGTGACGGCCCTCTTCTCAATATCCCAAACCTTAATTGTGCCATCCTTCGATGAGCTTCCGAAGACATTCAACTTTGTTGGGTGAAATGCCACTGCCATGACCTGTGTTGAACGACCTTTGAACACAATCTTGTCCCACTCCTTATCCCAGTCCCAAAGAGCAACATTGTTACCATCAAAGCAAGATAGAAGATAAGATGCACTGGAATGGACTGCCAGGATTGGCCACCAACCGGAACGTCTTCCAGACGTACAACAGAGTGCAAGATCATATCCTGAATTTCAAACACTTCGAACTGATTGCCACACTCTGTCACAATCCAATCTTTTCGCGCAATGAAATAGGCCCTGTTACAACCACGGTCTATAGACCACAGTGCAACCCGTTTCCCCTCTTCATAGTCCCACACCTGAATTGATTTGCATGAAACTGCAAGTACTAGCCATGGTTTGTGCGGGTGCAAGTCTACCCCTTGCCAGTAACCACCTGCTCCAATGTCTGCCTCTGTCATTTTGAGCTTTGGCACCAGCTGAAGCATGCTTCCTGGATTACAATCCTCCCCCATGCTGAGCTTTCGGAATCTGTCCTTCCACTTTCCACCTTGTATTTACTGTAATATCACCCCAAACCAAATTCTGGTGCAGGGTGGGGCGGGGCGGGGCGTCGTCGCTGGGCCCATTTTTTTTTTTCGGCACCCAAAAGCAAAAAGGATTCTGCGTGGGCGCTCTCGACCTCCTATCCCTTTTTCTTGTCCGAGTCTTCCTTGTTGGTCAAAGGTTGCGCTGACACCGAATACAACAACCAGAAACACAATGCCAGTGCACAACCATGGACAAATCCCCCACACCGGTTCGTCAGAGCTGATCTGTTCTCCATCACCAACAGTCTGTCACCAAAACAGCAGGGAGGTTTTGATGAACATTTAGCATATTATTATGATTATTAACATCATTACTATTATTATTATAATTATAATAATAATCTGGGCTACCAGCCAGGCCGCCTGGGTTTTCTTGTTTTCCCAGATGGCCCGGCCATACAAGGACAGAGCAAGGTCCATGCAAACAAAGGGGAGGAAAAAAAAAAAAAAAAAAAAAAGCCAATCCGAAAAGAAAACTATGTCATGGAGGAAACTATACTGCACAGCTTTTATTTTTTCATGTTGTTTTTTTTTTTTTTTTTTTTTTTTTAAAGCAGAAGACAGTAGGTTCGCCGCAGTGTCACATTGATTTTTTTTACCAAATTTACAATTAAAAAAAATAAAACTAAAAAAGAAAAGCCCAGTCTGGCAAGTGCTTCGGGGCCACTATAAAAAATAAAAGGGGTAACTTCAGTAGAGTCACAAAAAGGAGTTATAATTGCACTATGGGGCAAGATACAGTTTGCACTTGCACTCCGGGCACCCTACCTGGATGGAAAGCTGGGTTGTATACATTGCCCGAACTGCAATTCGAAACTGTATCTAGGCCCACAGTGCAATTACAACTCGTTTTCGTGACTCCCCCGTAGTTTCCCCACAACAAAAATAAAAAGAAGGCCCAGTCCGGCAAGTAGTTTGGGCCACTATAGTGGCCTTGAACCACTTGCCCGTCTGCGCACTTTGTTTTTCTTTGTTTTTAAATTTTATTCTTTGTTTTACATTTGGATAATTTTATTATTATTATTATTATTATTATTATTATTATTATTATTATATATATATTTTTTTAACTCCAGTTGGTTCTGCTAGTGGTGGTGATACGGGCCCCCACCAGTAGCATTCCATCCACTCGCTCCAAACTAGTGAGTGGTGGGGACCAGCACCTGCTCGAAAGCGGGTCCAGCGCCCCTCTTACAAAAATACAACAGAGTTAAAGCCATTTCGGAAGTTGACTTCCCCCGAATACAACGTATGGTCATTATAGCTTTATAATACAGTGTATATAGACTGAAAAATACCCCAAATACAGCTATAATGACCGTACGTTGTATTCGGGGGAAGAAGGTAGTCATGGTTCTGGGATCAGTAGACCCCTCCGGTGTCTCTTCACCTCAGGCTGCAATTTCTCTAGTAAATTAAATCTGTCTTCTATTACATCTTAGAGGTATATCTGGCATACCTCGAATTTTAAGATAAAGTGCAGAACGAGGAGAGATTCCATCTCTGATATCTATACGAATTGATTTTATGTCTTTTATCAAACAGCAGATTTTTTTTATTCTATTTTTAACAGGAAATCCCCATCCAGATATATGTAAAATATCATCATCTTTATTAAATTTCTTTTGCTTTTTTTATTTGCGGGGGGGGCGGGGGGGGAGTGGGGAGGGGGACAAAATGCTCCAATCTATTCGTCGGGAGCAGCACAGGCTGGGAACCGGGCCAAGCGTCCCATTTTCATTTCGATCTGACTCTACGGAAAATTATTAATAAGGGGTGCACTTAGGTTTCCCACAGAAAAAAAAAAGGAAGTTTTCCCACGGACTGCTTGCCAAATGCTGCCTCAGTCAAAAATTTCAAGGTTTTTTTTTTTTTTTTCATAACAAAGCATAATCCAGGATGGGAACTTTAGCTCAATCATGAACCCCAACCTCCCCCCCAAACCCCCCCGATGGGAACTTTAGCTCAATCATGAACCCCAACCTCCC